CCCCTTCATGTGGCTGGGAGAGAGCGTGCTTCCCTTGTTCTTCGAAAGTTTCCCTGCACCCAGCGAGCGTCTCGAGGCTACCGCCTACGTTTTCGATGGCAGGGAGACCAAGTTCGCTCCTTCGTACGGCCAGGCCGACGCGAAGAAGGTCACCAACAGCTCTTTCGATGGTTTCGTCTTCGCAATTGTACACAAGGATATCATGAAGCGCATGCGCGACGAGCGCTACGACTTGTCTCTGACTAGCACGCGCGACCACGCCAAGTTGCCTGTCTGGGTTACCGTCATGAGCGAGAGCGCCGAGGTTACCGATCTGCTGCTCACACCCGAGCTCATCAAGGCTGTCAACGACGCCGGAGACAGCTTCGAGGCCATCATCGTCAGCGACCAGCCTATCAACGCGCCCAGGACGTAAGTCATCCAGCATTCAATCCCTCTATAACATGAATTGAGCTAACGTCTTCTAGCCTCGACGAAACCAAGCCTAAGAAGCGCCTCAGTCTCTCCCTGAAATTCGCCTCGGACTACTCCACCACCATGCCCATCTTCCAATACTTCCTCCGTCTTACCGACCAGCTTGCCTCTCATGGACACTTCCGCCCCGAAGCCCTCCGCCGCATCAAGCAGACCCGCGACGAGCAAATCGCCAAGATCAAGAAGGCAGATGATGAGGAGAAGGCAGAGGAGAGGAAGCTTTCGCTCGACAAGGCAAAGAAGGAGATGAGAGACGCCAAGTTGGGTCGTCTCAGCGCCGATGAGCAGCGCAAGTTCCTCGAAAAGGAAAGGGAGAAGAACGCGAGGAAGGGTATGAAGAGGAGTACCGTCAAGGCATAGGGGCCCAATAGGAACAGGAGGGTGGGAGAATAAATGATCCGAACATCTCTAGGGCATTGCTTGGATAACGTGGCACATGGGATGATTGTATTAGTATCAGGGAAATCACGGCATTTGTGTCGTGGTAGCAAAGAGTAGTAATTCATTAATCGCACGCTACTTTACAGACAGAGAAACAACGCGCCGTCAATTGCCCAAAGCATTCCATCTTGCAAACTCAAACAACAATAAAAACACAACGAAACATCGCTGTGCATCCAAAGAAATACTTCTGCAAAACAGTCTTCTCACGCTTTGTGTACCCTCTCACGCCTACGCATACCGTAGGATCCACCAGGAAGCTCACTCTCCGGCGCCTGCGGTATACCGATATGCGTAGTGAACCCAGTCTCGATAGCGGCTGCGGTCATAACAGCAGTAGGGTTCTGATGCATTGGCCATGGAGTCTCGAGTCCGGCTGCGCCGAGTGAAAATTTCTTGGATACGAAGTTGTCCATGACGGAATGCGGACAGCGAGTTAGGCCACCATGCACGCCTGTGCATTCGAAATGGACATTGCTAGTCGGCGAGGGAGTCGGCGTGGGAGTATGCAGTGCGTTGTAGTCTCGCAGTTTCGATAGAAAGTCTTGCGTGGCCGATACCCCACACCAAGTCAAGCCGTATTCACCCATGCATTCGAGAAAAGTACCGTTAGTCGGCAAGGGTGTTGGCCACGGAGTCTGGAGTGCAGGTATGTGGAGTTCGGAATGTTTGGATAGGACGGCGTCTGTGTAGTATTGCGGACAGCGAGTTAGGCCACCATGCTCACCCAGGCATTCCATAAAGACACCGTCAGTCGGCGACGGGGTCTCGAGTGCGGCGGGTTCGGGCTCAGTTGCGGTTCCATGAAGAACCTTCGAGGTGACCCATTCCGGACAGCTTATCAGCCAACCATCATCGCCCATGCATTCCAAAAAGACACGGTAATCAGGCTCCGGAGTCTTGAGTGCGGTTGGGTTGGGCTCCGTTGGCGTGTAGTATTGCGGATAGCGAGTCAGGCTGAAGTCTTGACGCATTATACCAATCTCGACAAGGCCATCCTCGTTCGACATGGACTGAACCGAGTCATTGCCATCGTAGTGGTCCGGATAAAGTGCCCACGAGGAACATTCGGGGGTGTCGCATGCACAGTAAACCCGCCCTTTCCCATCCCCGCAGTCGACCAAAAAAGGATGGTAAGTGAGTGGAAACATATATCCCGGTTGGTAGATCGAGAAATTCGCTGGATCGTAGCCGTTTGGACAGCAATAATGAGCGATCTCGTCGTACATGTAGCCATCGACTGGCTCGTTGGAATCGCTGGCAGTCGTCGAACCGAGTCCACCTTTAGCAACCTCACTCGCCATTTGTCGAATATGACTCCAGTCAGCGCTGTCTTCACCTAGACTCCACGCCATGACGCCTCCGAGCTTGTACTTGCGGACGATGTTGTCGAATTTCCTTGTGATGAGTTCTGGTGTGTCCCATGTCCAGAAGAGGCTGTTTGTGGCATCGAAGTAGTATTGTCCGCCAGCTACCTCATCGGTGACACCGTGCTTAGCGGCTAGTTGCCACGACGCTGTCACATCGACGTCGGTACATCCAGTCCCAAACGCGTGTTGACAGGCGCCGTTGCAGTGTTCGGGCGAAGTACCACAGTGGCCGTGTCGGGAGCAACAACTGAATTCGCATTTGTTCCCCTTTTCTGGACCGCAGGTACCGTCCAAAGCAACAGTCAGTGCCCAAGGGTTGATGGGACGCATGTGGAACCATTCGAAGGTCCAGGCGCCCGAGGTGAATGTGTCTTTGCCCCATGCATCCTCGGCGAGAGCGATGGGGCAGTTAAGTGGGCTGGCACTGCAGTCGCCTTGCGTGGTGAAGTATTTGGCGTAGTATGCGAACCCGAGGTTGAGCTTGGAGGGGGGTGCTCCCATGGCGAGGTAGTCTTTTATGCTGTTTTCAGCATCGACGACGGAGCTGTGGTGTTTGGTTACTGTGTCTCGGCGGTTCATTAGGTCGTAGCTCATCACCTGGGAGAGTTAGTATGATCTCTGCAAGGTTGGTGTGAGAGAGATGATGTCACTTACGTTGATGAAATCGACGGATGGCCAGATCTGAGGTCCGGTTGTTCGAGTGTATCCAAGCATGTCAACTACTACTTGTCAGTTGACTTGCTTCAAACATGTATATGATGACTGGCCTTCTTTCCCTGGGACAGCGATCGAAAGCAGTTTCTTCCCAATAGCGGCACGGATGGCAGCCAGTAACTTAGGGAACGCGGCGATCTGGTAAGTCTGATCCCAGTTCGCCACTTGTTTGTAGTCCGCCCCGTTGCCGCCAGGATATTCCCAATCGATGTCTTCTGTTGTGAGCATCGACAAGTAACCAATGTAGGTAGATGGTGTACTCACCGACTCCATCTGCTCCAGTCCTGGCAAGCATAGTAGCAACATCAGCGGCAAACGCGAGCATCGATGCGTCGGACTTCGTGGCTTGACAGAAACCAACCGTATCGCCCCAGCCGCCAACAGCAATCATGACCTTTGCGTTGGGGAACTCGGTGCGGATGGTGTGTATGGGAACTTTGGGCTGGAACGTAGCTGTTGCGTTGGCTGGGGCAAAGGCGAGGATGACATGGTCGATGCCAGCTCGATCTCGTGGGTTGTCTGGACGCGTTGGGTGCCATTCGTCTGCGTATATGACAAATCGGGCTGTTGCTGATATTGCGAGTATCATCGACGCAAGAAGCGCCGCGGATGGGAAACGCATGCTGGAGCTGGGATGTACTCAACAGCTTGTGAATGGTCGAATAGAAGACTAATAGACAATGGGGTGATGAATGCTACCAAGGTAAGCAATACGTGTTGTCATGGAGAAGATGGAAGCATATCATAGAGATAGATGTCTCCCAATCTGGCCTGTGGCGTCCATCGTAGCTACCTCAACGTGGTGTTTGTTCTTGCAGACTGTCTGAAATGGAAAGAGCAATGATAGTTGAGAGCTCTTTCTGACAATAACTCTAACAGCGAAACTATTCGTTCTCTCGCTCTTCGATAGAAAATAGAATGGCACGACGGAAAGCACAAAAGCCTAACAAAAGAAGTAGGCGTCGGTTGACTAGAAGGTGTAGTACATTCTGTACTGTGTGGCTCTCAACACAGTCGCCTTCCTAGTTAACCCGACGTGAAGAAGAGGAAGTCTTGCAAAGAAGCGGGGAATTCATCGTAATAGCAACATTCAGTCTGGTGAGCATTGCCATGTGCCGAGTACAACACAAGCTCGCTCGCCGCTTCAGATGCTTGCTGATCTAGAAGGGGAAATGGCGACTGGATAGAGCCTCATGAAGACATGACCTAATGCGCGCTGGAATGGGAAGTCTACAGGCGTCCACGACTATAGTCCAAGCATGAGACTGATCATATAAACAACGATATAGCAGAGATGAGAAGGGTGCAGAGTGTAAGGTTGTGTAGTCGCTCCTACCTATACTGATAGCCGAGATGCAACAAAACAGCGCGATCAACAGCTACTGGACAATTGGAAGTCGCGGCCAGCCAACGTCGATTTCCGCATAAACATGCAACTCCTACATCGAAGCACGTCGCAAATTCCATCGTCATTGGAATCGGGCCCGTCATCCGGTTTCGCAGAAATCATCGGAAATGCTTCGTCGGGCCATCGACTTCCCGAAGCCAAACCCACGTCGGTTCTATATCCTTGTTACAAGTCGTTAGTGTTGCTATGTATGACAACGTATACACAGGGAAAAGTATAGAGAAAAGCGCATTGCAGAAAAAAGAGTCAGATCTTGCAGGAGCTATTTGGAGGCATGCATAGCAGACTGTCGGAACTATAGCGACCATTCGCTCCTGGGTACAGGCTGCTGACATTCTCAGTGCGAACACCGTACAACAGCTACGTGACATTGACAGGACACACAGTCCTTGTAGCACACCAATCCAATCACTAAACTCTCCACAATCACGAAACCGTCGCTGCGGCAGGTGCTGCATGTCAGACGCGGGCGCACGTCGTGGGGACGATGATGCGGACAGCCGTTGAGAACCACGGTTCACATGCGTCGAGTCCACAAGCGACCGGACAGCTCACCCAGTCCGCGTCAATTTGCAGCACCTGGACCGCGATCGATGAACCGTCTCGCACGTGATAGTCCGGCGGATCCGTGATCGTCGGGCCACGCAGCTGCAGCCATGCTTTTCGGGCTGCAGCAATATGGAGCTCTGACCAATTATGACGCGACGAAAACGCGGTGGCTGGGGAGAGGCTTGGAGCTATCAACAGCTGGCCGCGCGCGACATGGATAGGCTGAGCTGAAAATGCCTCTCTTCACGGAGGAGCTGGCGCATCATGCATGAGCAGGCCGTCCGGCCCCAATTGAAGCATACCACGCAACATTGGGATCGGCCCACTGCCAATGGCCATGGTCGTGGAGCTGCAGCCAGGTCGGGGAAGCTCCCGGCAGCTCTGTGGAGCTCCAATGCGACTCGACTCTCGATTGCGACACCAATTGCTGGCCATTGCCCGGTCAACAGCCGTGCTAAGATCAGTTGCGCGTCCGAAATTACCTCGGTGCGAGAAGCGCCAGGATGTGATGGGTTCTCTGGGGTTGAATCGGTCCATGGCTGGGAAAAAGGGGAAGCTGATACGCGCTAGTGCTCCGTGTCAATAACGCTAGTCCCAGCTTGAACAGCTCTGCCAAAGCTTCCCAGCCTCCACAACCCTGCGACCATCGATACGCCGACACAACAGTGATCCGACTGACCGCCAATCTACTTGATCCCCCTCCTCGGCCAGCCTGACTCCATCACTCCTCCACCTACACCCCGCTACTGCATCCAATTGCGCATCTTCAAGCTGCTGCACGTCAACACCATAAAGCTGGCGACTCTTCAGTAGATCCTATATCTCCAAATATCTCCACGTGAGACCCTCAAAGGAGCCAAGAAGTTCTTCTTGATTCCTTTCGAATTGTTTTCGAACGGTTCGAAGGGTTTTCAGGAACGAACGACCAGACTCCGGCAAACTGGATTTTGAAGCACGAGTATGCTCTCTCACCGCGAGTGTATAAGCAATTATGCTAATCCACCCAGGTTCCGATCCCCTTCAGTGTCTTCCCGTCTGCGTATCGGAACGCGGAAGTAAAGGAATCTACCAGTGTCCAGGTAGAAGAACAGGAAGCACAGTTCGAGCAACAGGCTTCTCACGGACGGGAAGGTCACGAAGAGGTCCACGAATCCTTCTCCGCTACCGTCCTCCCTCCTCCTCCGGCTCCCCAACAGCAGCAGCAGTTTGAGCAGCAACACCACGACACACACGTCAAGGAAGAGGTCCGCATCTACGAAGAAGAGCGCCTCCGTCGTCCCCAGCCTCCTCCCCAGCAGCAGCAGCAGTTTCAGCAGGCTCCCCAGCCCCAGCAGTTTCACGCTCAGCAGCCTCCCCAGCACCGTGAGGAGCTACATATCCACGAGCAGACTCGCTACAGACAGCCCGGACAGCCCCAGCAGCCCCAGCCCCAGCCTCATTCTCAGCACGTTCAGCGTACTGACCGCGTAGAGTTTGAGCGATCCCACGACCGGTAAGTCCGATCCATTGTTTTGCCAGCGCATCTTCGCACGGATCAGCACAACAGACCAACCCCCTGACTTTAGCGGCACCCAGCCACGCGCTAGCCGCTAACCCCTTTCATCTGTTGTTGTCCTAGCGACATGCATGCCCCACTTTTCCCTCACCTCCTCTAAGCTCTTCCTTGCCCAACCCAAAGCTGACCTTCCTTTCTTCCTTCAGCTACCAACCTCACCCCCAACCTCCTACATCATCCCACTCCCACGTCGAGGTTCAGGACAGGACCTACGATAGACACTTCAATACAGTCCACGGCCCTGCCACCGACTACGCTCCATCCCAAATCGACGTTACTGAACGTCAGATTCGCGAACGTACCCGTCCCATCGTCGCCGGTGCAAGCTACTCGAAGGAGACTTACACCACCAAGCACGACACCTTCCCCAGCAGCAAGCACGTCGAGTCTGTTGCCTCCCACCAGCCATCTGAGGTCCGAGTAGAATCATCTGCTCGTTCCACTGCCGCACCCCCCAAGCACCGCAAGCGTGATATGGGATATTACGACAACGAGGGCCAATACCACTCGCTTCGTCAAGGAATCTCCCACGCCGCTCACAAGGTCGCCGACCGTATCCAACACCCCATCCACCCTCACCGTCACCACCACTCTCACGAGCACTCCTACCCCGGTGCCAAGTACGACGACGACCGTGAAGAGGTAATCGTTAAGGAGAAGTACACTTCGGCTACTCCTTCTGTTGCCCCTGCCCGCCCCGTCCAATCCGGAGCTCCAGTTGAAAGGGTCGTTCGCGTCCACAGCTCCCCAGCCCCAGCCCCTCCCAGGTCCACAGTCTCTGCTGCTGCACCTGCCCACCCCCACTCCATCACCCACGCACCCGCACCCGTCTCTGCTTCTATCGCACCTGTCCCGACTTCTGTCCGTACAGTCCGCAAGATGGCTTCCACCAAGACTATCACCATCCCCTGCCACCACATCCGCATTGGCGATCTCCTGATCCTCCAGGGCCGCCCTTGCCAGGTCATCCGCATCACCACCTCCTCCCAGACTGGCCAGCACCGTTACCTCGGTGTTGACCTGTTCACCAAGCAGCTCCATGAGGAGTCCTCCTTCATCTCCAACCCGGCTCCTTCCGTCGTTGTCCAGAACATGCTCGGACCTGTCTTCAAGCAGTACCGTGTTCTTGACATCCGTGAGGACGGTCGCGTTGTTGCCATGACCGAGTCTGGCGATGTCAAGCAGGGTCTTCCCGTTCTTGACCAGAGCGGTCTCATCTCCCGCCTGACCGAGTCCTTCGACAACGGCCGTGGCAGCGTCCGTATCCTCGTCATTGATGACGATGGTATGGAGATGGCTGTCGACTACAAGGTTGTCCACGGATCCAGGTTGTAGAAACATCTCGTCAATGGTAAGCATCATCACCATCACCCACTGTCATCGCGCATCATCTAACATTACTCAGGTCTCATTCAAACGTTCGATCTTCAATCATCCCTTAGGCGTTTGCTTGCTCATGGCCCCTCATCTTATACTTGTGTTCATAACTTTTGCATCGTCACTTGACGGGTAGCATGGCGCTCTCAGGCATCGATCGGTGTCTATCGCTCTCGGTGTTTGGGTTGGTGTTCATGTCTGCTTGTTCGGGTGGTGGAAATATCGGAGCTACATCTGTGGATAGTTAATGAATTGCGTCTCCTTTAACAATCGTGTCATGCATTGTGATGTCTCTGTCTTATGTTGTTGTGATTGCTCCTTCTGAACTCTATCGTCATTCCCTAGTGATGTCTATCGCCCTAGCTATCCGAGGCTACCCCGCGTTCTCCACGCGCTCCTCCACTTGGACACCTTATCACCAGCAGCTATACCCGGCCCACACAACATGCGAACAACGCACGTATCTTGCGTTCCTCCGCGATGTAGTTCACCACATGAAACATCTGACACCTACTCGCCATGCCTCACTCAGACCACTCTCCATCCCCACCACGCGATCACTTTCCCGATCTTCCAGTCTTCCCCGACAACGTACCCACCGCGCCACTTCTCCGCATCTCGCTTCAAAAGTTACTCGACCACGACGAAGAAGAACAAAACAGATGTTGGCAAGCATGTCGCGAATTGGGTTTCTTCTATCTCGACGTACGCAGCTCCAATATACATTCAAACAGTAATAGCAACAATACTTCCGATTCATCCACTGTCGATGGTGATGCGCTACTCCAAGATGTGGATTAGCTATTCGAAGTAATGCGAGACTTCTATGATCTAGATGTCTCTGAGAAGATCAAATACGATTTCAAAGACCAAGGTAGTTACTTTGGTTACAAAGGGTACGGTGAAGGTTACGTCGATAAGCAAGGGACGAAAGATCGGAATGAATTCTACAACGTACATCTTCCTCCTTTCTTTCCAACTCGAACATTGCTAGCTCAACTACTAACTCACGACTTCCAGATCTCTAAAGACGACATCCTCTGCCTCAGTGCCCCCCTTCCCTCCCCAGCGGTCCTAAACCCACACCGTAACCTATACAGATCCTATATCACCTCCTCCCACGCAATCTGCATGCTCATCACTTCCCTACTCTCCTCCCGCCTTCCTCTTGCAACAGAGACGAAGTCAGCAGGCGGCCTACCCGCAATCCACCGTCTGCAAGCCTCATCAGGCGACCAAATCCGCTTCGTCAAAGCACCACCCCAAGAACAATCCCTCAAAGGCGTCGCACTGGGCGAACACACAGATTTCGGCAGCGTGACCGTCCTATTCAACCGCCTAGGTGGCCTGCAAGTCAGACTGCCATCCCACATATCCCCTCTCGCACCAACATCCACATCCCCTCCACCCACAGCCATCGAGCAGAAACTGTGCGAAGACGGCTGGACATACGTCCGTCCATTACCGGGCCACTGCATCGTCAATCTAGGCGACGCACTGGTCAAGTTCTCAAACGGCGCGTTGAGGAGTAACATTCATCGTGTTGTTGCGCCGCCTGGGGAGCAGGGGAGCGTGGAGAGATATAGTCTTGTGTATTTTTGTCGGCCGGAGGACGATGTTTTGTTGAGGAGTTTGGTCGAGGGAGGAGGCGTGGAGGGTGAGGAGGAAGAGGTTACGGCGAAGGAATGGATATTGAGGAGGGCGTTGGGGAGGAGGGAGGCGGATGGGTGGGAGAAGAGTGGTGGGACGGAGGCGGTTAGTATGGGTGGGAGGAGTGGGGGGATGAGGACGTGATTGAGAAGAGGGGATATGTAAGTGTACAGGTGCGTGCAATACTCATGTAAAGTATGTAGCCAAAGTCCAAGGTAGGTTTAGCATAATGGCTACATACAAAGTTCTCTTACTCCAAAACTTGGAAATTGTCGAAGCCATGTTGTTTCCCTCGACACTGTCATCTCATCTTCTACCACGAAGGCAGTATATAAATCAAAAATGCTCTCTACCTCTTGCTTTCTTCTATCTTCCCCTAATATATGCGGCTTTCCCAAAAGAATGAAGACATATCTGATAGCCTTCTCTTCTCAAAATATCGAACGCATTCATGGATGATCTGTTCTCCGCCTTCGGATCCCAGCACAGCAAGAGGATATTACCAAAAAAAAAAACACTCTCGGGGGAAACGATGTCCGAAAAACCTTCCAATGTCACCTAAGTCTGAAGCGCGATTCAAAGATATTCGAAACTTTTTCATGTCGCTGTTCGTCGTTCGGAAAGAAATGGCCTGCACAACGCCCCATGCCTGCTCCTTCCCTTCTCCAAGTCTAGGCCTTCGATTACATCCAGCCTACCTATCTTCCAAAAATACGTTCGACTGGACTCATGGCATCTGTCTCGGCTCTGTGTACAACAACAAACAGCCAAGGAAAAAATTACATGTCGGCTTCTGCCAAAGCATTGCAGCTACCTAAGAAGCCCAAGGCCTAAATTTCATGTCGTTTCTCCAGCACTTCGCCGCAAACACCCCTCCGCCGCCGGTGCGTATAAAAGCACATATTCTCTCGACCTCAGGTCTTCCACGCACTCTTCACCTCCACCTTTTTCAGGACCAAAAAGCATAGCGCGCAAAGACATGTGTCTGCTTTGTCTCAAAAAGAACTAATCCAAACACATGGTCTTTGCTTCAACACACCTGGGCACTATTCACATCCACCTCTCTCTGGACCAAAAACTACGGCACCAGACAACATGTGTCTGCTTCCTCCAAAAATAAGCGCCACCAAAACAGCATGTTGCTCTCTTCCGCCATTCCCCCAAGTCAGAACCAACCACAAAAATCTCGAAGAGAGCGCGATGGCTTTTCTCTGCCTTCCGAAAAAGACACTCTTACAACGTGTGCCTCTGTGCTGCTGTGCCCCTTTTCCAGTCTTCCGCCAAATTGAATCAGATTGTATCCTCCAAAATCAGAAGTTCAAAGTTACATGGAAGAAGTGCGTTGAAACGAAACTTCAAAACAGAATGGCAACGTTATCATGTCGCTTCCTGCTCTCTCCGTCCTACAAGGACTCACAGAGGGGTAATCAAAGTCAAGGCGGTCGGAATCATGTTGCGTTCCAGATCTTGAACCTGATTTCATCAAAAGCTCCTCGGACTGCCAGTATGGAGAAGTACGAAGACCGGTTTGCAAGCAAAACCTTCCAAAACTCACAACAAGAATCGTTATGTCTGTGCTTCGACTTTCTTCCCAGGCTTGGTAAATGTGAACAAAGTTACGACACCGTCGGCCTATGTCTGTCTAATTCTGCACGTCCACCTCAAAAGGCATAGACATCGAATATGACTTCAACCAAAAAGCTGAACTCAGCAACAAATGACGGTGAACAACGATGATATTTTCTCATTCAACGATAAACTTATTTTCCAAAAACACAAAAAACGCTTGCACGCTTCACCCATAGGGCTTTGGTTCGTTGCATCATCTCAGCCATTCATCCCATCTCAAATGGCTCAAAACCAGTCCAAGAGAATTCTCCAACGAAACTGCGCTTACTGTCCACCCATCTTCTCATGCGTGCTCATCAAACTACCAATGAAAGTAGTAATAAGCCTGCTCTGCACGGCAACGATATCATCAGGCACAAGCCAGATGGTAGCGCCCATCTTTCGCGCAATACTGATAGCCAGCTTGGCGTTCTGGTAGCATTCGTCGTCGTTGCGGCCCTGGGCGACGAGGTCGTAGTCGACGTAAGCGGGCTTCATGCCGGCGAGGACGTCGAGCAGGAAGACGGCGTTGGAGAGGGAAGAGTCCTTGAAGGAGCGGACCTGGGTGCTCTTGCCGCCCTTGCGTGCCATGTCGTTGGCCCACTTGATCATGTCTGCGTCGGAGATTTCGCGCTTGCCGAGCTGTTGGGCGAGGCCGTTGAGGGTCGAGACAATGTCCTTGCGCATCAGCTGCCATACGAGACCGAGGGTGAGTGTGCGCTGGCCGTCGGTGATGTCGGCACCTTGGATACCTGGTAGCGAGAATTGGACCTGCTTGCCGAGCTCGACGGCGTAGTTGGTGTTCTCGAGGGCCTTGAAGCGCATTAGCTCTTGGCCTTCGCGCGGCTTGTTGACGTGTCGCCAGTTTACGCTGCCCGGAATGACCTTGTCGTATGCTTGTAGGATAACTGTGCCGTCCTTGAGATCCTCGTAGAACGATTGTACGACGGGCTTGACGTCGAGAGAGTTGAGCCACAGAGTAAAGACACGGGCCTCGCGCTCTCCTGCCGCATCAAAGTCGTCAATCTCGGCCTTTTCCTCCTCGGTGATGGGGTCGAGGCAGGGATGTGTGTTGAACAGGTTGGCGACGAAGGCCAGGTTGAGCTTCGGGTTTCCAGCTACGAGCGATGTGGGTGTGAGGAACTTGCGGCAGTCGAGGGCGTCGGCGTTCTGCAGGACCATCTCAGCGCGCTGGAGGAGGTCGGTTTGTTGGAGCGGCGCGCGAGAGCAGGTTTCGGGGGCGAGCTGGCTGAGGAGGACGGTGTAGTTCTCGCCATCCTTGACGTCGGTGGAGAAGTTGGAGACACTGAAAAGGTTAGCTTTATGATCAGTATGATTGAGCTTGTACATACGTTCTGTGCCACTTGGCGTTCTTCAAGTGGTAGTTGAACCATCTCAGCAAGATCTGCTCCGGGGGCAGACGCAGGAACTGCTCCAGTGTCTCGTCGTCCTCCAGTAACCTGTACAATTCAGGGTGTAGCTTGATGTCAATCTTGCCGAGCAGACCTCTCCGGATGACCTGCCAGATCAGACCCAGAATCAAGTGCTCGCGTACTTCGATGATGTCTCCACTGCCAATGTTGACGACGGAGCACCCGATACCCTTGGCCGACTCAATGACAATGTTGTTGTTCTCGGTGAAGTGGAAGTTGTTGAGCGACTTGATCTTCTTGCCCGGCTTGTTCAGCACACGTTCGTCG